GCAGCATAAATTTGGAGCAGCAAATTCAGCACAGAAGGAGCCTCTTGCTTAATAAAGCCCAAAAGCCCCTGGAATGATTTCAGTCCAGCCATGCATAAGCATTTATAGAAAATGTGTGGTTTAAACTTTACAAGATAAGCAAATAAGGAAGTCATCATTAATTTCACTTAATGTTCATAATGTGAAATAAAGTGACTTGGGACAAAAGTAACAGAGAGCCCTCCATGTTCTATATTTGGAAGAGCTGACAGTTGATACAGGGAAAAGTTCAACTTCCATATTTAACAGGGACACGTTGGTTATAGTTTAGCCACCGGCTAAAAAACATCAGATCTAAACTGACAGACCACAGATACTCAGATTTCAATATGTCTACAAGAGAAAAGCAGAAATAAGAAGACTGTACTGACAAATTGTCATGCTAGAAAAAATAACCTATATAAAAGATTTTAATTTATATCATCGCTGTCAGAACAAAACCTTGTATCTGTATTTTTACCTTTTTAAAACAATTTTTTTTAAAATGCCAGCTGCCATTTACACCGTTTCAACACGTTAGGATGAAGAGACCAAAATAAATGGTCCAAAGATTTGTAACATTAACATAAACCCTTAACAGGGTTTTCTTTCCTTCTCCTGTAATTTACGTTTTTGAAGATGTGAGGTTTTGTTCCAACAGGGACAATATTTTATTATATTGTATTGTATCGTGATGTCTCATATTGTGTTGTCTTGTACTGTATTATAAATTACAGTTGTATGAAAAACGTTTGAATACCCATGGTTGAATGTGTTTTGTTGATTTTCTGAGTGAATGCATCCTCTATAGAGAACAAACTTAAATATGGCTTTTTCCTGCAAATTTTATTTAACACTCCAACATGTTAAATTCTGCAAATAAACAGTAGTGATCCATTAAAATGCATTGAAATTTAATTTTAATACGTTAAAATTAAGAAGTGTTCTGTAGAGAACTTATTTTAACTAAGGAAATCAACAATATGCGTCAGACTGTGACGCCCAAACTTTTGCATAAGACTATATATATATATATATTTCCGCTACAACCTCCTCTCTCTTTTTTTAAAAGCTCTTACCAGGTAAAGAAGGAAAGTGTGTAGGCCCGTGCCAAGGCCTACTGAAGACAAAATCCCCAAGCCTACCCAGTAGGCACACCACAGGATCTTCTTCTCCAAATATTGTACATACTGAAAAAGACAATCACCAGATAAAAGATAAAAGAAGTTACACTCAAACAAGACACTATCAACCATGTGCTAATACCATTATACAGGTCATAGGTCACCTTCTGATGTGCTCCTTCTATAGAGTAGGCCATTGAGAAAACTGAAAAAAGCACTAGGACCAAAAACACTGCACCTCTTCTCTGCCACAGCCTGCAATGACAGGAGGAAAAAAAGTGTCCACAGTTAAACACACTCATTTACATTGCACTCTACATCACTGAGAAATGTGATGAAATAGTGAAAAGTACATTAACATTAATTAAATGTCAAACTAACGTTCATGTTGTAGCCTACTTTAAAGAAGAATTACACTGATCAAAATTTCTGCATAATTAAATAGTTAAAATGTAAACAAAGAGTGGTTGGACAATAAATGCTCCATTCTGAAGAAACTTACTGAGTAGGAATTGTTCACAATGATGGGTCTGAAAAGCTCCCTCACAGAAAGTTATTAAAGGAAAAGATTATGAATACTCCGATGTGAATACACATCGCTTTACAACAGTTTTGAGAGAAGGCTTTAGCCTAAAATGTATTTTTTTTAAATACAATCATGTCAGAGAGGTACACACTACAGATGCACAACTGGAATCAGCAGCACGAACTTGCCAATGGACAAATTTATAGCTTTTATTTTGGCAGATCTGTGTTGTAATTTTATGACGTGCATAATGTAAAGCAGGTAAGTGCACTGTATTTGAATGCTGCTGCTACACCTAAAACAAAAAAATCACAGTATAATCATTCATGATTCATGAAGCCATTTGTCTCTTACTTTCTATGAAGCAGTTTATTTGACTGAAATAAATTTAAAACTGAACCATTTAAAATGCCAGTTTGGCCCATTAAAGAGTAAATAATGTAGTTTATATGGAAAGTTTGGATAATCGTTGGAAGTGTGCTAAAGCGTTTCATGTGTTTCATCTGCCCCACACAGTGTGAGCTTTGGATTAAAAGGCTAATGAATATCAAACAAACAAAGAAAAAAAAGCATTGGCCAATTTGACAGTAAAGAAATAAGAATCGCCCATCAAAATTCATGATTGATGCATCCCTAGTACATGCAGGGCATTGTAAGGCAAAATAGTCCTTAAAGAAGACATTTTTTTCATATTTACCACCATTACACCATATTCGACATTTTACACAAAAACTCAGAACACACATGTAGGCTCACTGGTTGTTTTGCACAGTTTAAAAAAAAGCCTATGTCTGCATTGTAGACATTTTCACCTCCTGTTTCTATTAGCACCACTGTAAAGAAAGAGTCTTTTTAATGCACCATTTCACTTCAAACCATTCTGAATGACTTTGGTTACAAGTTACCAATTTAAATATGAAGAAATACTTAAAAAGGTCAGTGCAAAGGCCAGAACACATTCAAAGCCACTTGCTTATTGAAAGTTGGCTGGTGTGCTTACCTCCATGTCCACTCCTTCAACGTGATGAGGGTTTCTAGGAAAGAATACTGAAGTGTGAGGAGAGGTTTTCTCCACAGCACCAGAGAGAGACGCTCTTCTCGGTCCTGCTGTTTTCTCTCTCTGAGTGACGCATCTAAACATGCAGAGCACAGGGCATTCACACATACAGCAACATCAGCCATTACACCAGCGCACTCTGTGGAATGCAATTCATTTTATAATATTTTCATAACTCATAACCTCACCTGAGCAATAGCACAAGGAGTGACGTGTAACAGATAAAGATGGCAGCTGAGTATGTCTATAATTAACACAGGTTGCCTCCAGGCTGTTTATCTATTCACAGCCGTTCGTATCAACAGTCAACCTTTGACCGGTACAACTGGAATTCAGAGCGTGGCTGGTTTAGGCAACATGAATTACTCATCAGGCTCCATACTGACCTGTGAAATTACCGTTACGGTTTTCTTTAGGCCCAACTCTCTTCTGTGGTAAATCACAATCCGCTCCATTTTCAGCCATCTCATACACTTGGCTTCAAACAGCTATAAACAAATGAATGAATGAATGAATGAGTGAATAAATAAAATTATAAATAAGTACATTTAGAAAAATTACAAATATAATCGAAGGTTTTTATTCCAAAATGTCAAACAACACTTTGTGGTGGAAAAAAAACACAATAAAACGATAAGTTTATTTGTCTAATATAACTGGTATTAATAATAATAAAGCATTGACTTTTTTGTATGTGTAAAACTCACTTCTGACAACGGATATTATGATAAAAGACAATTCTTGTAGCATTTGATGAAACTCTTAAATTGTAATTTACATAGCTATGCTAAACATGACTGCATAATCTAGTTTTATAATTAAATCAAAATATAATCATGTTAAATTATAAATATGTGCAGTTTAGCATCAGTATAAAATATCATTAAGTAATACAGTAAAAGGTAAAACAGTTGCTGCAGTAAATTCAAATTAAACGCTTTTAATCACGAGTTTTTATATTTTAAAATAAAATGTATAACAATGTAATCATGAGAAATACACAACGACTTTTTAATTTCTCAAATGTCTCATTTCACCGTAGGTTTTCTTTTAACCAAAAAAGCCACAAAAACTGTGCTTTTCGTGTTTTGGCTTTGATTAAAGTTGAGACACCGACCAGCAGCTCTGCCACTCCAGTCAACGTCCACCAAACCCGACCTAAAGCAGAATCTCCTGAACGTTAATCCTGTAAAGCCTGAGGATGACAAATGAGGTTTAACAGAGTGAAAGAGAGACTGGAGTGAGTAGGGTAAGTGCCAACATCTGACCATTAGCCCGGTCACACAGTGGATGACTGTGAGCCAAGAGTGTTTTGAGTGTCGGGCACGGTGACCGCTCACAGCACAGGGCGCTCTCTCTCTCTCTCTCTCTCTCTCAGCGCTGAATGTGAATAAGCCCGATTGTTCAACATTAAAGCTGCTTTTGTTCACAAAATGAGCGATTCGCTCTCTGATCCATCACCAGCTCACAATAGCATGCTAGCTATCCGGCTGTCGGCTGCTGCGTGCTACGAGCTATCTTTGCTAGCGTTCGCTGCCGGACAGTAAAAACCACAGGTTTAGAAATGATACGTTAGAAAGAAGACTTTATCGTTACCACCTTTTGGGGGTTTCCTATCAAACCGGTTTAGCAGGTGAGAAATATGTGACACAAAAGCTACCCGTGTGAGGAACCGCAGAGTTGGACGGTTAGCTAGCAAGCTAGCTTCCTGTTCGCCAGCTTCTTGTTCGCATTTTCCCGTTCCTCCTTAAATGGTGCAGCAGTTTACATTCAGGCGCCTTAAGCCTGATGCACCAGAACGTCACTGCTGTACCATTTAAGGTGGAACGGGGACATTTGAACAAGCAGCTGGCGAATAGGAAGCCAATTTCAGCCTCGTTGGTATTTCGGGGCTACGTTTTGATCTAGAGCCGGAAAAAATACGCAAGCTCTTACTTATATTGATACTTAGAAGTGTGGGCTCCTGGTACAGGCCCTGAAATTTGACTATAACAGTCCGACTTGCCTTACCTTGAGCTTCAACAAGCTTCGCCCAAAGCTCTTGCTTTCTCCTGCCAATGTGGATTGCGAAGACACCGACACCGGTATCTCACTTCCTGGGAAAGGGCCACCGTTTTCTTTACAAGATAAAAGATTTTCTTTATAAAATAAAAGTCACCCGTACATTCCCCTACATCCACAGGGGAAAGTCTTTACATTTTATACGGTCAAGTGCCTTTCTTATTGTTCCCAACGAACGCGTTGCAAAGAACAATACAAAAAACAAGACACGCGATTCAGTGGTTGGATGAGTTTTCATTTTAATCTGAGCTCAGTTTTACAATCAAGCCACCAAAATGATCACAATCCTGTAAATTTATTAGCAATTTTTTGTTCAGGGTGCGTTACAGCACACGAAAGAACTTACAGGACAAGCAAGGTATCCGTTTCTATAATTCGTTCTTCTGTACACTCAAAATAGTGGAGCTAGAACATCACAATACCAGGCATACACAAACCTCAATACAGGGAAGTTGCATGGTGAGTAAATACACAGAGGTCAGAAGAATAATCTTTTTTTTTTTCAAACCCTTGCTCATTTAATGGAAATGGGAGCACACAAGAGCACTGTATAGAACACAACAAAAAGTTCACCGGTTACACATGGAGTGAATGAAAGGATGTTAACGTCGAACACGGCTGATGGGAACTGTTTATGCTAAGGGGTTAAAATTGCTTTCTATAATCATAGGTCTGTATGCACTTAAAATTCCATACAGCTACATACCTGTGTAGATTATCTGATTATTACTTAGTGTTGCTAAATGTACCCATGGATGCATACGTTCCAAGTTGAAATATTTTGTTTTTAACATTTTTTTTTTCTTCAGAATATACAATAATGAAATGCATTATACAGACGGACAGTGTTAAGCTTTCACGCACAGCACATCAAAATTAAGAGATTCTACATTAGTTTTCCTCTCACGACAGAGTGCAAATCAGATGCTTCACAACATATGTTAAGGTTAATTGCTGTTCTCACGATTCCACTTACGTACATTACCCATTCCCTCTTTTTAGAAAGAGAAAATCAGGTCAAAAAAAAATCTATATCTTGTTATATAAGTCGGCTTAAATATGGAATGTCAAATAAAAATGTGGTCCAATTATTTTCTTTAAACAATACAAGTAAAAATGAAAAGTCCTTCAATGCATTTTAAGGAAAATAATTTAAAACGCATAACGTTTGACTTCACAACTCCTATGTGAGTAGACCACAATAAGCTGGTGACGAACTTAAGGTGAGACGGATGGAAAACTGTGGGCGGGCGGGAGCACTTTACATGCCGTAGCTGAAGCCTGGCTGTACTGGCTGACCATAGCCAGTGGGGGCAGCGTAGCCATAGCCGTAAGGCTGCTGGGGAGGAACTGCAACATTGGGGCCTGCAGTGAGCATTAGCTGGGGTGTGCCTGAAACACAAATTGAACACCAACACAGACACATTAAAACAATATTTATGTGACAGATTTAAGATCTACAACATATTAATAGATCAGCAGTTGGTAAAAGAAAGATCAGATGGAAATATCATTTCAGAGCATTTTGATATGAGATCAGTTCTTACAAGACTGTTGGTTGTGACAAAAACATTGCAGGGGTCTTTTCCCACCCTCAGGTGCTGGAATGAGGTACAATGTTTCACCTCAGGTACTGCATTACATATTTGTGTTATGTTACTTACTGCACTCGTTCAAAACAAAAACTAAACAAGGAGTTGTACCATCCATTTTAAGGTTTAATTAAAAAAAAAATTCAAGTGCACCTCTCTGATGGTCACTGTATAACACTGTTACAAATAAAAATGCGCAGAGGTATGGACAACAGATTCAGGCTTCAGTCTGGGTGCTAAAACTTTGCAGCCAGTGCTCTGACCAATTTTGTCCATTTTTTTTAAATCCGTCTCAGAAATGACAAGTAGGGCTGTCAGCTGAGTTGAGGAATTAAATTCATGTTTCACTTTATTCTTTGTCAAATATTCAAATATATTCAAATTTTAATTCAATTTTTTTTAGATGTAAAGAAATCAAGTAAGCTTAAATGCAGTAAATACTATTTTTCTAAGATATTATGTCTCTTAAATCCACTAGTGGGCACCCAAGCATCCAAAAAACTCAGTGTTACAAACTAATACTTTTCAACCTGAATGCTGCAAGACTGTTGTTGAGTAAAATGGTACAGGCTTATATTTATGACATATCTTTGTGAATGACTTGTTCATAAAATCCCCCACACCAGTGATTAAGCTGGTGTTGTAACAAGCTAAAACAGAGTGTCTGCATGAGTAAGAGAGTTGCAGCAAAATAAAAAAAGTAAATTAATTAAAAAAAATAAAAAATAAAATAAAAAACAAAACGCTTACAGGCACTGTGTCTGTGGCTGTGACCGCTTAGCCAAGCAAGTAATAGGAGCTATACAAATTTGTTGAATATTAGATTACTGCACTACAAAGCATCCACATTTGGAGAGTTGGCTTGTAAGAAAAAGTCTACAACTTGAAGCAGATTCTTACCTTAGATGAGAGCATACTTCTGCCTATTATCATTATTCAGCTGATAAAGTGAAAATATCTAAATGATCTAGTTGCTAAAAAACTGTGGGATGTTTGAAAATATTCCCAAACATTTAAGACCCAAAATAGATCACTGTTGTTTTGTTTATGTCCATGTTCTGTACATATGGAAACGGCCATGTATGATAACGTTATTTTGGAATGCACTAGGACTCGCAGCAGAGATGCCTTTAAACCTTAAAATGGAGATTTTTTACATTTAATTTTTTTTCTTCAAATTTACCAAATACGAGTTTTTGTGACAACCCCACGTGCTCAAGCCTATTTGAGATGACCCAGGTTCAACATGGTTGGAGGCAAGGGTGTGATGATTTAGGCATGCAGTTTGCAAGGCAAAAAACTAAACAAGCAAGGTACCAACTTGCATTAGTTGACATTTGGGGTAAAGGGGAAAATTCTCTCTCTTTAAATTGAACATTTTAATGTTGTCAAGCAGTCCTACCGTAAACAATGGGTTGTGCCTCTGTGGCCTGCTCCTCCTCTTTCCTCAAGGACTCGGACGCATCCAGCTTGTCAACCTGAATGAGGCAGAAAAAAAAGGGAGAAAGAAGACTAAGGAAAAAAAGTCAACTACTCTGTGGCAAAGAGATGAAACTCAAATTTCTGGCCTTCCTTGTCAACAGAGCAAATGACTGATGGATGGGACCATTCATGGGAATGCTTAAAGCCAAGCTTAAACCAAGGTGCAAAATGCTTTCGAAGCAGGTTCTAAGGTCACGAACAAGCTTCTATGACCATCCATACCTGCAGGTGAACACAGATACTGCTTGCATCAATTCGGCTCTAAGGATGGTCTGATTACTCCATTTGCCAACACATTCACATAAAAATTACAGACAGCTTGGGTTTACAAGTAAGTGCACTATAAAATTCAAACTTTATCCAAACCAAACCACTAAAAGTTGATGGTCCCCCCAATCAGCCACTGAATGGTCCAATTAAACTGTGCATGTAGAAAACAGAACCCTGTCACCTAAACAGAGCTTAAGTGGCAAGGTGATTCAGATGCTGGAACTTAATGGTGTATGAGAAGACTGCTTAAAAAGGCAGGGGCTCCAAAGATAGTCCTGTAAATGCATCAACTGTGGGAGTTTAATTTGAAAAAAGGAAACTTACAACTCTAAAGTAAGTCTTAAATAAAGAATGGTCAAATATTTGTCCATGAAAACAGACAGGAAAATTAGAGTAGCATAAGACAAAATCTGTTCTTCAATGTCTGTCTATGAAATACTCCAGCACAATGATAAATTTGTGTCTTAGTGAGCGCATGCTTTGTGATTACATGTTGCATTCGGGTTCAGTTCTCTACATACAGCTGGTGTCGACACTAAGAAGTTTTATGAGTATGTTTGTTGAGCAGGCTCGAAAAAGGTCAGCAAAAGTCGAAGTTTCATTGAAGGGAAGAAAACATGCCAGAGGTGTAGCTTGTTATTCATTTAGTTAATAAAGTGTGCATGGAAGAGAGGCAGAGTAGAATAGTGAAGGAGTGACAGGGTGAAAGATGGATTCGTACAGCCATTCAAGGCTTCCAGAGGCAGGCACAGCCAACAGCCATGTTCCCTAACCTTTCAAGGGTGCCACTAACACTAAAACACATGCGTGTAAAATCTCTACGGCATACGAGACAATAACAGCTTTAACCTTACAGAAGGACCACACTTTCCTGGTACTGTAGGTTGACTTTAGTGGGAGAAATTATTGGTGCAGTTGTAAGTTTAAGATGTTCAATGATTTCTGCAGGTCACGTCAGGAGTAGTAATGACTAACAGAATTCTGAAAATGTGGTCACTTCATCTCGCTATCTCTACTCTTACCTCACAGCTAATCACTATCAATGCAGTCTACAACTGGATTAGTGAAGGAACTTTAAACAGAGCCAATCTGAAAGTAATTACTAGCAGACAGTCTTGTGTCTCAGTAGGCAAAACTAAAAAAAATGCTCGTGACTCATTTGATCAGCATAAGTAGCAGCAGCATGGGGGAAAAAATACATCTAGGGGCCAATAGTAGACTGCAGTTCAGTGATGTTAATGCTAGCTCATCATCTACAGGTCTGAGACAGTGGCGAGTTGCTTGCTACTGCAGCATCTGCTTGACAGATGGTCAGTACTCTAGAGGAAACTTGAGGAAATTCTAGTCAAGGTGTGTTTAAAAGCAGCAGAGTGATATGGGAGGGGGAAAAACTCATGCAGATTCCTGACGTTTCAGTCCTCCAAAACTACAAGGGTTAAAAAAAATGGAATAAGAGGCAGCCTTCACCTTTTCCTTAATTGCATCAACCTGAAAGGGAATTTAAGAGTAGCAGCTTAAGAAAATAAAGCAAATTTAACAGTCCAGCATTGAAAATGCAAGAAGAGAACAATTGCAGAAATCAGCAGTAGTGTTAACAGAAATAAAAAAGCAAGAAATCATAGAAAGTATGTCACTGGTTTTACCCAAGGTTCCACTGATCTTCATGACAGGATTATAAAGACTGCTATGGAAAACATAATCCCTCAATATAAATCCCCCATCATAACTTTGCCGAGTCTATCTGCCTATCTTTTCACATGAGATTTCTAAAACATATAGAACAAAGATGTAACCTGTAAGAACACTATAAACATACATTTAAATCAGTTCAAACAGCTATTTTAATATCAGCTAAATGCATTTAATGCAATTTTAACAACCACCAGATTTATGTTTTTGCTGTAACTATAAATCATATGATTAAGTTCAGAGGAAACTGACATTGTCACATGGCTCTGCAGGCCTCCTGAATATGCACGCCACAAGAAATGTATTTATTGTATTTTGTAAACATGAGAAAAACAAATCGACTTGATTAGCACAATGTTCATGGGCAGGGTGAGCAATGAGATGTTTTGAATTTTCATGGTCTAATCTGTAAAACGAGAAATGAAAATGTATCAAAAGTGACATTTACTACTTGTGTTCTGTTACAAAATAGATCAGATTACTTCTTTTTCACCACCCAAAATACACCCACTTTCATTAAGACTTGCACTTGCATCACCTAGGCTCACCTTGGTGAGGTACTCCCTCATGACCTGGATGAAATAGGGCATGGAGAAGTCCATGATGTTGTGCCTCCAGGCAGTCTCCAGCACCACATCTGGCCGAAGCAGGTCATAGCACGTGAAGAGGCAGGCGGCAAAGCACTCCTTCTTCTCCTCCTGCAGGAACCACTGCAGCAGCTCTTCAGCAAGCTCTGTGTCCTTCGACTCTGACGCATACTGCATGGCATCCTGGGGAAGGAAGACAGTCACGCCTAATGAGTATCTCATCGTAGTTATTATTCTGCATCTACTACTATAAATTTGATTTTAGTGGTTGTGTAGTAGGCAGACACCTTGTAGAGTTTGTCCTTTTTGCAGAGCTCCACACTCTGCTTCCAGCGGTTGTTGCCTTTGAAAAGGTAGGCAGCAATTCTCCTGAATTCGATAAGCTCATGCTTCTCTAGACTCTGGGCCAGAGATATGTTATCGAAGTTGTCATAGGCATCAATGGATGTGCGCAGAGCCTGTGTGAAATGAACATTTAAATAAAAACAAAAAAAACAACAAAGAAGAATAAAGAAAGGGACTTAATATCAGTCTCAGCATAAAGCAGGAGTCTCACAATACCAGCCCTTCAAACAGCCAATCATATATCTACACCTTATCCTTACATTGAGCCATATTTCTCATTTTTCTAAATATTTGTATCAGAAGGATAAATCTGCATCACCAGACACTGAGAAAACTATTATAACAATACATTAATACACTATAACATACACATTGTCATACTATGTTACATTGTTCTATTAATACATTAATATTAGTAATATTTGTGGTTTATAGTGACAGAAGTACTGCTAACAAACACCAGCTACAATGCACTTAAACAAGTGAATGTGTTGTTTTTAAATTTACACTTGGGGAAAAAATTTGGGGACACTTCTGCACATTCTAGCTCAACTTTTTTCCCGGCATTTTTTCAACCAAACCACCTGGCTAGAATCTCCATAAAGTAACTGAGTCTTTTTTCTTACATACAGAGTTTAATAAAATCATGAGAGGACATGTTCTGCTTTTGTTATGCTTCCTACCTGGTAATCCTCCTCTATTATGAAGAGATTGTTTAGTGCTTCATTTACTGATTTGTTGTTGTGGTTCTGTACAGATCGCAGGTATGGTTTAACCAAGGACAACTGCTTGACCTGAAAGATTCATTAAATATGAAATCAGTAATTTATTTGGCATTCAATACAAAAAAAAAATGTGTGAGCAGAATGACATGAAATTGTAGAGACATTAAAATACCTTGGAGAAAAAGTTGACAGCGCGGGTGTGATCAAGCCTCGGGGAAAGCACGATGAGCAGGTCATTCAGTAACAAAGGCTTGAACTCCAGATAGAACTGGATAGCTTTGTAATAGAGTTCCACATTAGCCACCTAAAACAAAGCAAACAAGGCTTAACACATGACCTGTGTTAAGTGCTATTTATCAAAAAAGGATCAACTGCAATACCTTGGTTACAATGTCTTTGAACTGGCTCTCCTTCCAGGCATCTGTGGGGTGGTTCATCATAGTGATGATGGCATTATCGTATTCCTCATACTTGTCATATAGGAAGACCAGCTCAGCCCACAGATGAGCCTGTTCTGCTGCCCTCAAAACCTGGAGCACAGATCAACACATTGTAAAACACCAATAAAGCCTGCATAATAATCCACAGTACACAGGACACAGTTAAACACACAGATTGATCAAGGACAGGACATTCATATATGGGTGATTTTTGCAAGGAGAAAAGTTACAACTGAAAAGCTTTCTTACCTTGGGAATGTTGACTCTGGACCAGAAGAGCTCAAGGTGCTCCCTCATCTTCTGGGGCTTGAACTTTGAGTAGAGGATGGCCAGCTCAGTGAACATGCCCATGTGAGCACGTTCCAACCCCAGAGCAGCCTCTAGCATCGTGATCAGCTCCTCAAAGTAACCACGGTCCTGACAGAGAAATACATCCAGTCAACACACCTGCTGCAAACCCTCCACACACATACCCTTTTAGACCTCAGCACTGCACTGTTGTTTAGATGCATATTATTGAAACGCAAGCAAACAGAAGAGAAGTGGATTAAATGTAAAAACCTGGTAGTAGTTGATGAGCTCCTCAAGTTCATCAGCATGGACCACAATATGTAAGCCACACATCTGTGCCAGACGGAATTCCTTCCCATCCACACAGGCAAAGCAGACCTGAAAGAAGACACATTTCAATCAGTGAACTGAAAAACTTTCAACAAATACAGAGTATATGGCATGATTTAAAATATAAATAACCACAGCTCAGCAGTGCTACAACTGACTTGAGTACAACTGACTTCAACAATTTAGTAGTGCATGGTCTCACCTCTTTCCAAGTTCGTGTGCTGTTTGCTTTGCGAGCCCCGTCCACAGCAGCCTGGTACTCCCCCAAGTGGACCAAAGTGGAAGCCAGACGGCCAAAGTTGGATACATTGTTGTACAGTAGCTTAGCTGCCTCATACATCTTCTCATCATAGCAACGGTCACCAACCTTGGGAAAGAATTTAAGCCAGAAAAAATTACATGTATAGATCACATGTCTGCAAACACAAAGGAGCATGTCAGGTACAGAGAGGATCGTACTTGCTGGATGTGAGCATTGTTTGGTCCATTGATAAACTCCTCCAGTTCAGCCAGGCGGTTGGTTTTGGCCAAAGCGAAGATCAGCTCAGTCTCTACATAAGACTCCCGTGCCTTCTTACGGGCCATCAACAAGAACTTCACCAAATCCTCCCAGTTTCCTGTGGAAGACAGACAAATCATAACATAAGCAGTATATTTATATGTACTTTAAGCACTTAAGCATAAACTCACTACTCCCTCTGCTGGTACAGAGATGAAAGAAACTATTTACTGCTTGACTGTACTTACCACTTTGGGCAGCAGCATGTCCCACCTCCATGTAGGCCGATGGGTCATCTGCCTTAATATAGGAGTCAATAGCTTCTTTTACCAGACCTTTCTGCAGCTGAGCCTTAGCCAGCTGACTCCACACTGCAGGCTCATTGCAGCGCTCAGCAAACTCGTAGGCCCGGTCAAGATTTCCAATATGCTCAATCAGAACCTAGCACAGTATAAAGACAAAGAGTGTGTTCAAGGGCTACCAGAACAGATTCAAAGATTTTGGGGGGAAAAAAAGCTTTGAGACTGACCTGTACAGCAGATGTGTTCACATCAAACTTCCTAAAGATGGCAAAAGCCTCCTCAAAGAGCTCGTTGCTGATGGCAATGTTGGCGATGTCAGGGGCATCGTAGTTGTCCAGGCGGTTGATGTACTCCATGACACGAGTACGGTCAGCTTTGATGGCTGTCAGGATCAGAAGGTTCTGCAGGTTCCTGGGGAACAATGAACAACGACACAAAGAAACTTTTAGTAGGTATTTCAACCAGAAGACCATGAAAGATGAAACCAAGCGTTAAGCTAACCTGTGTTCACTGAAAACAGAGTTGTCTAAGACAATCTTCTCAAGAAGCTCAATGAGCTCATTGGGTAGATCAGCAGTCATGAAGGCTTTGACTGTAACAGACACTTCTTCTGGATCTTGCGTCTCAGACAGTGCAGTCTGCACCACCTATAGAATAATGGAGTGGAGAATGCTTACATTTGGAGAAACACAAGCTCATTATTTCCAACGATTCAATTTTAAATTCATGTCAGTGAGAGAGGCTAAGAACTCTCTCTAGCCACAGATATTTTTCCACTATACCTGGTCGATCAAGGGTCTTCTGTATGGGTTGCTCTCCAAAAGAACACTAGCCCACAGCTCAGGGTCCTTCCGACGCACCAAATACCGAGACAAACTCTTAAAGAGGGAGTTTTCATTGCAAACCTGTGGAGAAGATGGATACATTTGCTGAAGTGTAGAAGAAATATTTTTTACATCAACCACGGCATTTAAACTCCAAAAGATGAGATATGCAGTTCTCATCACAAACATGAAAAGACTTTAACATGTGAAGTGTGTGTGTGTGGGAAGGGGGGGCACGGCACACAGGCTCCTTACATTTATGAGTTCTTGGTCACACTGTCCTCTCTCATATGCCACGCAAGCCAGATGAGGGTCTCTCTTTTCGCAGTATTTGCCCACAACACGGCTGTCATAATAGGGATTTTCTCGGAGGAAGCGCTCGGGGTTGTTGTTGCTGTCAATGTAGATCTTAGCCAAGGCGTTATGAGTGGCAGGCTCCTCACAGCCCTCATGGATGCGGGCCTCTAACCAAGGCAGCAGCAGTTTCAGTCTGCCACAGACAAAAATGGTAAGGTCAGAAGATTTTTTTTTTTTCTCAGTGCATCTGTGAGCTGTGATTATATGGCATGTCTGAGACTGCATAGGAAGCTGTAGGATGCAGGATAAAGGATGTACCTGTTTCTCTTCTCCACCTCGGCTACGAGCTCATCAGTGGAGAACTGGCCTCGCACTACCAGGATCAGATTCTTAATGACATCCTCTGAGCAGTCAACATCAAGCAGGCCGCCAATCACCACAGGTAAGCGGCTAGGATTCACCTGATATGCAAAACACTCTGATTTAGACAAAGCAACAGATTTTTGTTTTTAAAACCTACAGTAACCTTGGTATGATGGTGCCTATGGACTTTTTTAGTACTGAGCATCTGGTATTATAGTGGCCTACATCGCTTACCTTCTGCACGTAGATCTCAATATACTTCTGCAGGTTGTTGCGGTACAGATAAAGGACCAGGTCGTGGACAAAGTCGAAGCGGTCACATACGATAATGAGAGGCAGCTGATCAGTCAGTTTGGCTTCCTGCAAATGAAAAAGGTTTTTGAAAATATTAGACCATTAGAAGATAGATTATGTTCAAAAACTGACATCTGCATTCCCAACATAACACAGTCTTCTTACCTTAAGGAAATTCTTCACACGTTCAGGATCATAGCAGTTACTCTCTCTGCAGATTCTCTCAACCTCTTTGATCTGGCCAGTTTTACATGCTGCCTGAATGTACTTGAAATGGACCTCTGGGTCTTGGCTGAAGTTCACAATGGAGCCAAGGAAGTAAAACAGACCTGCCAAGTACACATTCAGACATATTAGAGCCTGAAGTCTTTGTTCTGAAATGGGTTGTTTAATACAACAGGACTTACGCTTAAACCTTACCTTCAAAGCTTTTGAAGGACTCAAAGAGCTCAGTGAGAGACTGGGTGGAGAGCTGTTCATGGTACTTGGAGGCCACCTGGACACAGATCTGCAGGTTCTGGCGGATGTTGGCTGACAGCATGGCTCTCAGGCATTCGAGAGAGTCCTCCACTGACAGTGAGCCAAAGAAGTTCACCAACCACTGCAGACAAAACATACCAAGGTTAAATATTTACAAACTACATACACTATACTATATCCGAATGCAAAAATATTATCAAGCTCCTTATCAAGCAAAGACTCAGTAACTAGCCATCACTGTAATGAGTCACAAACAACAGTGAACAGTGAAGAGGCACAGTTCAGACAGAAAGGAAGCAGCAGCTTTAGTGTGACTTATTAGTGGACTTTGCTGGAAGATTAAAAGGGATTTTATTGAATACCTCTGGGTTAAGCAGGTGGGTATGGACCACAGCTCGCTTGATGTCATACAGGTCAGTGTAGTGCTCCAGGGCTCTCTGCAACAACCCAGCCTTCTCACACAGCTGTGCCACATGAGCTCGGTCATAGTGGGTGAACATCTGGTTTCCCAGAATGGCATCAGCAACCTGAAAACACCAAAACACAGATATACCATACTCTACCAAGAATATGAAAAACATAAAGAAACAGAAGTGGAGCCTAAGAGGCTAAAAGTGACCTGAGGAGCATGCATCAGGTTCATCTCCAGAAGCCGGGTCTGCAGTGGGCCCTCAGTGGGGCGGTTGTTCTTCAGAGCATCCAACAGGAAGGAGGTGCATTGCTGGATCAAGTTATACTCCATGAACACATCCACAATCTGAAAAGAAAGACAAAAAAAAAAAAACTGTTAATAACCAGCATAATCACAAAAGCTAATCTAAGTACTGAAATGACAATGTGACATTACTAGACCAATAGAACTGCTGCTGAAATGCAAAATAAATAAATAAATAAATAAATCCTAGCCAGAAACGCATGGTTGGGCATGAGCATTAACCTGGGTGATGTCTGCTAGTGGTTCCTCATCCTGCACAAGCATCTGGGAGAACTGCAGGCCCTGCTCTGGACTGATTCGCATGACATTCCTAAGCAGGAAGATCCAGTCTGGAGTGTAGCCAACCTGCAGACACAAAAAGTAAAGTGAGCATATGTTTAAATCAACGTAATACGTTTCTAATTTAAACTCATCTTGGAAATCAAAGCATATAATTTGAATGTAGCTGTCGATCAGCTCACCTTTTTTGCATACAGTACAATTTTCTGGAACTGGCCAGTCTCTGCAAAGCACTGGATAACTTTGTTGGGAACATTAGCCCTTAAGTAGACACTGAGAGCAAGGGTCGGGTCCACCGACTTCACCAAATCACCCAATTCTTCTGAGCACTCCAGCTGAAACAAATCAACAAAACGAAAGTCAACAAAACACAAAAAATTAAAAATCCTCGTAATTAAAAAAAAAATCCAAACAGGCATTAAATACTTTCCTTTACAAATATCAATCAGCGTTATGCAAGCGCAGACCTTTCTCCGGGCAAAATCGGGATTCATATTTGAAGAAAACTTTGAGGCCTTTTACCTTATCTTCCTTCAGCCACTTCTCCAACAGCTGCTTGCGGCCCTGCTGTAGGACGGGCCTGCACAGCTCTAGGGATTCAAACTTGTTCAGCTGGCCCTGGTCCAGAAGGATACCAAAGTACTGCAGCAGAGGGGAGGTCTGGCCAGGCTGTGCTGGGACACTCTGGAACCGGCGGATGGTATCTGGGGTTCGCAGGATACCCTGAGGAAAATAAGCACAGATAAGTAAAAGCTGTAGAAGATCAAGCAGTGGGATTAGTGCCAAGCTGTGGGTCACTGTGCAGGTGGCAGTACCTTTGGTGCATTGGCGGCCACTTTCGCCGCCTCAGAGTAGTTGCCCCCTGCAAACAGAGTGTTGAATTTGCGTGCAAAGAGCTCTTCTGCACCAGCTAGATTGTTGCGGACAGCCATGCGCAGGGCCAGGTCAGGGTTCTGCAGCACATTGGTGATATAGGGAATGATGTTTTCCTCCTCCACACACACAGACAGCACCTAAAGAGGAAGAAGGGGGGAAACACAAGACATATTGAGGATATGTGTGACTCTGGATGCTTGTTTTGCCTATGCTGCTTCAAGAACAAGTATTCAGCACTTTTGAGAGCAGGATATACAAAGTGCAGGAATGGGGCTGTCCACCACTCAAAGCATCAGTTTGTTGAACCTCATCCCCCACCATTCACACAGAGAGTGAGCCATCACCGAGGTTTTTAATTCTGCACAAACGTTACATCTCTCCCTCCTTGAGACAGACGTCTTAGGGGACAAAAAGCACCAGGACAGTCCCTCGAAGGCCTCTCTCCCTGAGTACCATGTGAACTGAATCAGAAGAACAAATGCTTCTTTCAAGTAGTTTGCACCTTTGCACTGTTTAAACCTGTTCATTAAACACATCACCCGCACATTAAGGGTGGACTCAATTCAGCTTTGTGTATTTATCTCAGCTTGAGGGGGGCTTCTGGTCACTTTCATCTCTCAGTATGATCTCAAATCTCTTTCCATGAAAAACAATCGTTTTATGCAACACCTCAGTAACAAGCACTAACAATTAGGGCTGGTGCAAACAGCATTTTACAGCCTTGGAATACTAACTGATAATTCTTGATGAGATTTTGAATGCTCAATCTCAAAATTCACCCTTAAAAACTATAATATCTGAAGCATTTTTAGTTCTCCATCTGATGGAACACATACACTTCCATTTTAATCAGTGTTTTAGTTCACACCAGCAGTGCTAGATACATGTCTTACATCAGTCAAATTGTTCTCCCACTTGCAAATGAAGTGTAGACTCCACAGAGATCCAGTCACATCACACTCCTATTTTCTACAGCATTCCTAACTGTATTTAAAACAATAATTTACTCAAATGTTACGATCTTGTTAGCGTACTAGTTGGAGAGCAGCTCCTGCACTGTACTAACAATGTACGGAGAAGAATCTTCTCGGATATAGCTGTTTCTTATAAAAGGCAGACAAAAAAAGCTGAAACTGACTGAAGTGGTTACATGGCAAAGTTGAGCTGGAAGCAGAGTGGGCTGGACACATCTGTACACTTGCAAATTTGAGATAATTCATCAAACTTGTCGTACATTCACGGTAAGGGTGTGCAATGTGACAATATTTTTCATTATTCCAACAAATTATGTCTCAATATGCTTTTCTGAGTGTGTCGGTGATAACGTCAGTATTTCTAGAACACTGACTAACTTACTCTCACAAACATAAATACTGGGAACCAACCTGAAGAAACTCAAAATGACTAAAACAATGTTTTCTTTTTGTATATACACACCGATTTTGGATATACATTGATGGTTGGTTGTATAGTTTAGAATGATTAATAAAAGAACATAAAAAAAACCTGAATTATTTTAAATCGATTTTATTATTGTTATTATTATTTTATTATTGTTTTTGTTTTTTTTACTTTTCTTTTCATAATCAGTATACTGTTGTCAGAGTATACTTGATGTCAAGTATTTTAATAGACAATGATTAAAATACACGTACTGTGCAATTTTATTTCATTACCATACACACTGACAGCCATTGAGGGTTTTTTTTTGCTTGTCATAACATTTTGGGTTTTAGTTTACATCCTTACAGTCTGTAAGGAAAACGTTACTACAATTTTTTGATAACATACAAATAATAAGAACAGTTTTTCTGTGTGATGCTTATGACATTAACATATTTATGGAATTTTTGGGGAGGTTTCATGAAAACAATCCAATCAGTCCTGTTTAACTGGATTTAGTGTAGCAAAGTATGTGAAACATGAATTAAGTTTATGACTGTTTAACATGTGCCACTACTGACTTTTGTTTTACCTCTTCCAACATTTCAGGTGTCAAAAAAAAAAATACTGTTACATATCGATCATTATGAAAATTTTATGAAGTATCATATTAAATTTTTGCCATACCGACCACCTCTACTTCACACTGCCAATCTCTTATCGCTAATTTTTATACTGAGCAATTTCCTCATTGTCCAATAATTTCTGAGGCAAATCTGCTCTTTCAGTTTTGATGTTTACATGGAAAGAGGTGTTATTCATTGCACTCTGAGGAGATGTGACGTGACATGCCTAGCATGAATTTATTGTATACTCAAAACTAAACCAGACTTACTTCTTTTTTACATTTTCCCTACATTTAGTAATGACTGTTCTATTTAAAGGCCTTTGTTTTAGGCAACACATTTTGTGGGGTAAAAAAGGACAAGGCTTTAGAACAACAAACAGAGAAACAAATACCAACATAAACAAATACTCCAGCATTCAAATTATTCAGGCCAGCCATACTAACAATTTACCAATGAATTAACTAATAAATTAATTAATAACCAAATAAACAATGAAGAAACAAAGTGTTTAAAGCATCGGGACACACCAAGCTGCATGCTGCAAGCACAGTAAGCCCATCAGGCAGAGGCTGAGACAGTAGGAGAGCAGGGAGCAGTAAGAGGATTAAAGCACCCATCACCATCACCCGCTGCTTCTCACACACGGTTGGTGCCCGCCAGGCATTCATAGTGCCACAACTGCTGTTATTTACAGGGCTTCCTTGATCCCAAGGACTTAGCATGTAGGCCCAACATTATACACACAGACAGAAGCACATGCAGTGTTTAGATTGGGGCTGAGTCGCTAATGTTGTCAGTGAAGGCCAGGTAAGCATACCGACAGACTTAATGAGAAGGTAAATTGGTGCAGTGACGCAACAAAGGAGAGTGATCGTCTTTCCTCTTGCTCACTGCATATTTTATGGCTCTGGAGCCTGTGTTAGAAAATTATTCATCACTTGGTAGACTCCAGTTACAGTAAATAAGAGAACACATGCAAGTTCGCCTTCAGTGATAGTCTGCTTCTAGTTAAACGGATGGAAACAAATCCATGTAGTTCCTCAGGAGCAGGTTAGTGGTCAGCCCATCTGAATAAGCTTTCTCAATCAAGCTACAAACAGCCTGAGACTATAACAATTACACAATTTACTGCTACACAGCAAAAAAACCCCACAAAAATATATTACCTGTCCCTTCCTGTTGACCCCAATAATGCCAGCAGTAGCCTCATGAGGAGCAGTCACAAAGATGGTCTCCCCACTGATCCTGTTCATGTAGATGCAGGTGCCAGTTTCAAGGTCATACAGGTGGATGTAGCCATATTTTGTGATGAGAAAGACCACATCGTGTTTGGAACTGATCTACATGAGAAGACAACAAACCAGAAAAATTATTCATAACAAGACCTGACATTTTATAATGCATCTCAGCTGGGAGCTGAAATGTAATGATCATCTTGCTAAATCTGTAAAGTGGTAAAAACATGACCACACTTTCAACGGTGAGAACATCTCTTAACATCCTGTGATAAAATCTGAAAGTGACAGATCCTGTCAAAGAATAAGAAAGTAAAGAGTCTAGAAAAAGTACCTGCATAGCAACAGGGAAGTCATTCTGGGCCTCTGGCGGGAAAAACACATCTACTGCTTTCTTTGGAAAAGGCTGATTCCCAGACGGAGGTGTCCCAACCTCAATAATGTGCAACTACAGAAAAAATGCATTTCATTAAACAAAACTGTGGCTGTGAAACAACTAAATCTAACTATAATGAACATACTCCACAGTTTTAAGTAGTTCAGGGTAACCAGCAGACCTTTCCTCCAGCTTGACTCCGAACAGCAAAGCAGAAGAGCGTGGATTCTTCAGCATTTCCCTCCATTTTAAACTGTGCAAAGCCTGCAGCATGGCCCTCGATAGGCTGGGACACCTTCCTGTCCACAGAGTACAGCTGCATTGCTCCCACTACACGATTTTGCTAGGGTAGAGGGAAAAAAGGAATCAAAAGCAGTGGACACCAAATGTTATTACAACACCAGTGTCTAACAGAAGGTGTATTCTCGCATTTAAATTCGAAGGCTAATTCAACCGCCAAGTGTTTTAAAAGAAAGATTTATTATAAATGACTGTAATTGAGGCCTACCTGTCTGTTGCCGTCTTGTTTTTAATACGCTTACAGTTTCCAATAGGAATAAATTCACAAACTAATCTGGCCAGCAAACTCATTGGTTTCCCACCTCAACTATCCGAGTGGGTCACCTAATCCCTGATCCGCGAGGCACTTATAATCACGTGTGATCCAGACCACCCACTCCACCAGTACTTTATCCACCTTCCTTCAGGTCATAGGTACAAATTACCTTATGTAGGATAATTTGTTTTAGAAAGAGTTATGTCCCTACAGCCATTCGGCTTCCCATGAATTGAGTGCTAATGCATGTCCTGCATTGTGTGACCCCTGTAATCGTGTTTATATGTTTCTGTACTATTCTGTACTTTGTGTGTTGATGTTACATATGTACCTACCACGATCCTTTTTTTTGTATTTTGTATATTTTTTATGTATGCACCTACCATGGAAAAGAATTTCCTCCTTGAGGACAAATAAACTAAACTAAGTAACTAACTAACCTGTGCTGAAATCCCAATGAGAAGAAGCCATTTCTGTTTGGCATCAGTGCGGTAGTTGATAATTTGGCAGCCGGCTAAACTGGAGTGTCGGTCAAACACTTTAATGGGCTGGGAGTCTCCTTCCATACTCCAGTGGTAGACTGCGTTGTCTGTTACAAGTGCTATAGTATTGAGGGAGATCCACTTCCAGAATGTGACATCGTCCGTCATGGTGTGTGCCTTCATCTTGCTTTTCATTTCAATGTTGAAAATCTGAAGGGTTTTCGCAGCTGAAATTCAAAAACAAATGCATACATCAACCTTTTTTAATTCAATGTATTCAACAGACTGCATGACTGTTTATAGTGTTAATAACAAGTAAAAATAAGGGCAGTACTAAACTGTGTGTTAAATATCAGAAGTCATGAGTAAGTGCAAAGACAGCATGACTTCAGGCAAACAGTTGCAATGCAACAGGAAGAACTAAAGACCAAACACTGCAAACATTAACACACATCCAACAAACTTTTTCCTCTGCATTCAGTTCAATTGTGTGACTTTAAAACATTCACTTATTTTATGATGCAGTTGTGAATGAGATATTTTAACAGAAAGTTGCCGTTTATCCAATTCAAAAAAATGTTTAATTTGAGATCATTAGTTCTTTACATGCATCCCTAACAGGCCTTTCCAAAACTCAATTTAAAAATCTCAAAATGCACCACACTGCAACAATATATCTATGTGCACTTATTAAAACTGTTGCAGAAATATTTACTTTTTAAATGAGTTTTCTGACAATTGCAGGGCAATCTGCATTTACTTCACCTAAATGTGTATCAGTTGAACAGTTCTGTTCTATAAATACTCAAAAATACTATATTAAAATAAAAATGTTACATTATACCATACTAATATGCAAAATTTACATCTCATCTGCATGTATTCTTGTATTTCAATTGTTGGTGTGGGGAATAAATAGAAAAAGAACTGACGTCATGAAAAATGAACTGTTTGGGCCGCCTCAGAGTGAGATCTGAATGCAGATAGTAGGACCAGCACAAAACCAGGATGAGCAAAACACAATGGTACATTTATTTGCGTTTCTAGATTTATGTGTAGTCTCTCAAATTGCAAATACACTCCACCGCATTTTGACATACAGGTTTACTGATCATATACATCATCAGCAAGAAGCACTGCCTTATGTTCATGCACTGTATCTGAACTAGGTGCAGAAAATAACAGAAGGTACAGCACCATGTTTTTTTTTTCTGTGGCAGAACGAAAGCTATGATTTCACCTTTCTGTCCCCACACATAGCTCACACAATCACATTTTCACAGAGCTGAAAAAATCCCTAATTAATGTGAGTATTGCATGCACAAGGGCAAATCAGGTGCAAGGCTACAAAGACACTACAGAAACGAGGAGAAACGGACAACAAAATCAATCAAGTGACTAGTCAATAACACTTCAAGTTATCAGTCTGCATTCAATTTTGTAACGTCTCAGCAACCAATTCAGCCATAAGAGCATAGGCCTAATTGGATCCAAATATATGTTTATTTACAAAATTTTAAAAGACTCCATATTTATGAATGCAATTCTGTAATTACCTAAATCAAAATGAAAACTTTACTAAGAATTTATTATTATCTATTTATAATGCAATAGTACACAATAGTCTCTAATCATTCTAATGGTGACATCATTTTCAATCACTTTCAACAATGTTATTTCAGTGAAAGATGGAAACAGTACTAAAAAGGAGATATTACATTGCTGTCTATGCATCCTACAACCACCTCCCCTTACAAATCTGGCCTACCCACCTAAAAACTACTCAAATTCTCCCATATTTCAAAAGAACACCCCACAACTCAGGATATATGAAAGTCAACTCACCGTCTGCAAATATAAGAAAGCAGTAAGAAATGAAAAAGAACAAAAACAAGCAAGACAAAGCATTTATGACAGCAAGACATTTCCAATGAGCACTTTACTACTATAATTAACACAAATTTACTGCAAGAGGCAGGCAGCAAGTGTCCAATAGCAGACTTTATACAAAACAAAGGACATGGCTGTGAATATGAACATAAATGTGGAAAAGTGCAGACGGTACATGTAATCGTCAGTAAGTCATTTGGACACAAAACGTGATACACAACAATGTTAACCTAACTTATATGAAGGCTAGTTAACCAGAGGCATTTTAAGAGGGTAAAATGTAAACCAGTTCTGTTGCAAGGAGACTGCCACAGGAACCCTTCTTACCTTTTAGGGCTATGACTTTGCTCGCCGGATTCATGATGGCACTATCTGCCGAGATGGGCCTGCGAATGGGGTTGTTGGGATCACTCATGTCAATGATCACCACCTGAGCCTGCTCGCCGACTTTCTCTCGCACGCAGATGAACTTGTCAGACTCCATGGTGAGGGTGCTGAACCCAATGTTCGCTGGGTTAATGCCCAGGTTCTGGAGCTAATAACAGAGGAAAGACACCAAGGCACAGCGTCAGTAGAGAAAGAGACGAAGAGGCAGACATGGAAAAATACTACTTGCATTCAGCCGCTGACACATTTTATTTATTTTATTTATGTGTCATTTTATTAGCAGCCACCAGTCTTATCTGAAGGTTAACCTAAAACTAAATATTAAAATATTTAGCATTTCAGACCATAGATCAGAATGTGAGGGCTGTCAATGACATTAAATTTTGGATTTTGATTTTCAAGAGGCATATTTACACAAACCACCCCTCATTTGCAGATGTTCACCGTGACCCCGACAGTGAGAACACGCGGCCAAAATGTTATTCATCATCCATCATTCATTCATCAAGCTACATTTCCTTCCATTCTTTTCCTTCATTTCTTAAGGAAATCCTACTTTGGTTGAAGCCCTGAACACTTGTCATGTTCGTCTTATCTCAAACCTGATAACAGTGCGGGGTCCTGTGTTAGCTAACCTAGCTTAACTAACCCGATGACCGGTGGAAACGACATAATATAAAACTAAGCACTTCTATTGCGTGACAGAGCCAGATATGAAGTAGATATTAAGTGACAACACTAGTATTCAGCGTGTTCATGTGGCTACCTAACATAGGTTGCTTGCCTAGTTGATTTTTTCTGCCTGTCATTCATTCAATAAATACAGCTAACGTTGGTTGGTTAGCTAGCTAGCTAGTTAGATAGCAAAGGCAAGGCTTTAAGCGCGCTAGCTTTGCCCGATTTCGTTTGTTTAAAATACTCTTTTCAAGCCAACTAACGTACATAATAGCAAATAAATGACTCGATTTTTTCAGCCGTGTGGTACTGTTTCTGTGGAGATGACCCAGTGATAAGATGCCACCTCAGTGATAAGTGTCTGAGAAATGGATGGGAGGTCATTCATTTGGCTCAAGCGCTCGATTAGCATTAGTGCTAACCCGCTAACCCAGCACTAAGCTAGCGAGCCCAGGTATCTTCAAGGCAGCTCTCGAAGTTTCCATCGAATTTGAACCTTTTTGAACACGACAGCGCAAATTTGAACGTATCTCACCTGCAGGTGCTCCTGGAAGCGGATAGGTAGGATTTGAGCCATGTTCGTTTTCTTCTGCTCTCAATCCTGAATGATTCTGGCTAGCGAGCTAGCGACGGGCTACGACCTCCTCCAACGGACACCGCAGTCAACGGCACCGGGTTTTTACAGAAAAATACCGATAAAACGGGCAAAAATATGACAAATTGTAGGAGTCGACGGTGTCCAGGTGTTTATACGAACGGTGCCGACCCTATGCCCCTGATGTTTGTGATTTTTCTCCCCCTCCCCCGCTGCTCAGATGTTAATCGGCGGAGCCAGCCAGTGCTGAAAGTGCCGAAACCCGCAATGGCGGCGGAAACAGCTCAGAGGAGCTCAACACGGAAACATCACAGCAGAGAGAGTTCACAGCGGCGGAGGGGACCCACTGTGTCAGCAGCGACGGAGCAGCCGGTGTTATTTTACCACCGCATGAATAAATTTCCAATACGTGACGTTTTACAAATTGAACTCTGAATAATGAGGATAGTATTGAGTCCTCAGTGTAATCCTTCGTTTATTTTTTTGCCACATCATTCGGTATATTAGGTTCACGTCAGATCCGGGGACGCTCCCAAGCTTTCAAATCTCAAAATTCATACAGAGCAGTGTTTCCCTGTCCCAGTTCACCTGATTCAGCTCATGAAGGACATTATTGTTAGTTAAAGATATGACTCATGTACGGAAAAACACGAGACTGTGTAGTGCAGGTGGACTACAAGACAGGAGTGTCAGGTAAACCTCAGGTGTAACGTCACCCCAATATACTCTCATTAGAGACACACCACTGCTATTAGTGCTACCACTCTGGCAGTCTAAAAGAACGGCTCACAAGCTGCACGAACACCACATCAGCCATAACATCAAAACCACTTCCTTGTATCTACACTCTGTCCTTTTTATCAGCTTCACTTCCTACAATACAGGTGCACTTTGTAGTTCTACAATCACAGACTGTAGTTCATCTGTTTCTCTGGTCAGGACCCCCACAGCACCACCACAGAGCAGGTATCATTTGAGTGGTTGATCATTCTCAGCACTACAGTGACACCAACGTGGTGGTGGCGTTAGTGTGTGTTGCGCTGATACAGCAATGCTGCTGGAGTTTTTAAACACTGTGTCCACTCACTGTCAGTCCACCTTGTTGATGTAAAGTCAGAGACGATAGCTCATCTGCTGCTGCAGTTTGTGTTGGTCATCCTCTAGTCCTTCATCAGTGGTCACAGGACGCTGCCCACAGGACACTGTTGGCAGGATATTTTTGGTTGGTGGACTATTCTCAGTCCAGCAGTGACACTGAGGTGTTTAAAAAACTCCAGCAACACTACTGGGTATGATCCACTCCTACCAGTGCAACACACACCAACACACCACCACGTCAGTGTCACTGCAGTGCTGAGAATGATCCACGACCCAAATTATACCTGCTCTGTATATACAAATAAGGCTCACCACTTTGCCAAAAATGCGTCAGTAAATAAGCTACGTTTCAGAATACTGTTATTTAATGAGTGACTGCAAGGATTTTGCAAATTCTACCCTCTATGGTGCATAATATCATCAAAAGATGGCATGTGTAACTTGCACATCTGTGAAGACACATTAATCCTGGCAGATATACACAGTTTGAAGCAACACATGCTGCCTTCTAGATGATGTCTTTTTCAGGGACATCCATGCTTATGTCAGCATGACCCCACCAAGCCTCATTCTGCATGTGTTACAACAGCACAGCTGTGTAATCAGAGACTGTTTCCCATTGAAAACGCGGCACATTTTGTAGTGCAAAATACAACAACCAAGGCTTAGTACCAAACTGACGTCTTCGGTCCCCAACAGATTATTAAGTGCTGTTAAAGGGAAAGGTATCAGTGTTAAAAGTGCTTCTGTTTCAGCTTTTTTTGAACATGCTGCAGGCTTCAAATGGAATGGGCGTATTTTTACCAAAAAAAAAAAAAGTTCATATGGTAAAACATCAAATATGTTTTTGTGCAATTTTCAATTTAATGTGGGTCAAAACAGAATTTACTAATCACTGCTTTTTGTTTTTATTAGCATTTCTTACATACTTCCTTTGAATGAGGTTGGTATGTGCATGTGAGCAATGCTTTTTGACTGCCAGTAAACTACTACTACTACTACTAGTAATAATAATAATAATGATAATATTAGTAGTAATACTACTTATACTACTACTACTACTACTACTACTAATAATAATAATAATAATTAGTAGTAGTAATACTACTACTAATTGTTTCCCTTAAGGTTAATTGGTGTGTCTATTCCTAGCTTTTTGGGAGACATTTCAGATTGTTGGTGCAATGTTAACTTGTGCTTTGAGGTTAAGAATTAAGTATCAGTGTTTGCCACATGAATACAAAACACTTGGCACATCATTGTAAAAAAGATTTATTACAAAAATATTTATACATCTTCTTTAAATATCACAGTGATCTTTAATGGGTGGAAAAGATTTTATGACTGTGGGGATCAAATTCAGGCAGGAAAAGAGTATTAAAATACTAAAATCGTTGATAAGTCAGTTTTTATATTATGTAATGAACACTTCACTGCCTCCTTTCATGAGTCTTTTCCTTGGAGTCGATTCTGTTTTCGCTGTAAATATCGAGCCCGAGCCTCTGTGATTGAGCTGTCATCGTTTCTCTTCTCAAGCTTCTTGGATGCATCTTCACTGGGTCCTGTTCACATTGGGACCAAATGTGTCAACATAAAAAAAAGATAGTTTTAAATCAGGGATGCAATGTAGCTCATAGGCCTACACTTGCGGTCCACCTTATTAGAAACACCTAGCTTGTACTTTCACTTATTAGCCTATTTAATGTCCACTACGTAGGTGTACATTACACACTATAACCCATGCACTATTTGTGACTATCAGTTTCTGACCACAGGACCACTGCTGACAGGATATAATTTGGGTGCTGGGCCATTCTCAACACAGCAGTGATATGGTAGTGATATGATAATGTTTGGTACTGGTATGAGAACATCGCGCACAGCAGTGTTACTGGGGTTTCTGATACCAGCAGTTTAAACATACAAGGTCAGTGTTTCTAATAAAGTGGCTGGCAAGTATACTTGCATATCATGAATAATGTACCTGTTTGTCTTTTTGCTGTCCTTTTCTTTTCCCACTGTGCCATTTCCTCATCAGTTACTTCCTCTCTGGCAACACTGCTTAACTCATAAACATCTATCTCATGCAGCTTTGGAAGCAGATCCTTCACCCAATCATATCGGATGGGGCACACAGTTCTCACATAAACTCGTGAAGTGACCAAGACATCGTGGAAAATGATCCAGTCTAGCTGTGCCTCCTGTCCAAAGAGCTGAAAGAGAGCATAATCACAGAATAAAAGACAATTGTGGCAATTATTAAAACATTGTCAGTTTGAATTACCACAGCATAAAGGGGTAAAAGTGATCAATTTCCTTACAGATGATGATGGATGAAGGTGAACTGTGGAGCCATGTCCATCCATAGTACAAAATGCCTTTGCCATAGACCTCCGAGCAACATTGGTGAAATAACCCATGCAGAGACAATGCCTTAGTAGTTCACTACTGCTGCCCTCAAACGTCTCCTGTGGAAATTCTTTCTGCTAAAAAAAGAGATGAGAACGAGGAAAAATGAGAGAAAGACAAGAATTTAACTGCCATGAGAATTTTTTTAATTTACTTTAATTCATCTTGTATGTCACCAAAACTTTACAGAAAGTCAAGTGATTATATAACACCATTATCTGAAATGTAGGAAACAGAAATAACTTCTTGTGAACCTTCACTTTTGTCCAAGGACCACATGAAACCATATCTTTCTCTTCCTGAATCATTCTTCAGATTTACTTTCTATCATTATCTTATTCTATGGCCCAACTATGATTTGTGGATCATCCAGATACATTTTAGCAAACCTGAAGCACAGGTATGGGAATTGTTTGCCGATGCCAGTATCCAATATTTCTCATGTACATAACTGTAGATGCTGAAACAAACATTTATAAAAATGTAGAAATTGGGATCTACCTGAATTATCAATTTAGAGAACTGTAACAATTATTTCTGTAATTATGTCGACATTACAAAAGATCTACTGACTATTGTACAAAATGTAAAATAAAAAAATGCTAACAGCTACTTACAACTGCAAGCATATTTTATTGCATTTTAAGACTATAAGAAAAACTGTCAGGATTCTCTGAACAGCCCTTTCTATTTAGGCCTATAACAACAAATAAATAAATAAATATACAGGCCTATAACAACAAATATATGTCCCTTATGGTGACGCAGATTTATTGTGACAGCCATTACTGCTTCTCACATTGCACACACTGACAGTAAAAAACAATCATCATGTTAAGGATAATTCTATGTAATTGGTTATGTAGTGGAGTTAAATCACTCAATCTGTTTAAAGGAGACCAGGCTTCAAACCTGCCCTAGGAAACAAGCAGCTTTTGTAATATTAGACGCACATCTAACGCTACGTTTCTACCAGTCTAATTACATTACCCTGATTCTGCACACGTGTAACGTAACTGAATCAATTCTGCGCTTGCAGTCCTGAATTACATATTGCAATGATAAAAATATTAATTAATCGTGCAGCTCTAATTCATATCCAATTCATAAAAATATTTCAAACTCCTTCACACACATCTTTAACACACCACAAAGAGAATTTGGATGTGCTGTCATTTAAATGGTAACCAACTATAATCATAATTTTAAACCAGTATGATTCTGCATTGTTGATAGTTTTTACAAGTCTGACAGTATAAATGACCTTCTGTAGTTCACTGAACCCAGAGCTCTTTCTGTAATGGTAGTCCTGATTGAATTGACCTCACACTAAGGAAATAATAAAACTTGCTGACAGACATGGCCAAGGACATTGTTGTTACTGAGTCCAGCACCCGTGTCATGTAATGCTGATATCATATTTCCACATGACATTTTATTCTGGGATATCACTGGTGATTTAGGGAAGTTACACAGATATTTTATTCTGTACAAATCGGTCATTGAAATCTTACAAATTAAATTACAAAGACCTACCCAGGTGAAAAAAAGTGCTTAAGCAAACCAAAAGTTTTCATGGCACTTTATATCACAAAAGGTTTGTTCGTTTTAGACTGAGAGAGAAACCGTGTATTACCTGTTTTAGACGAAAAAGTATCTCCCTGAGTTGAGTCTCCACACTGAAGGCTGACTTCATTGCACGCCAATGAATCCAGTGATCTTTACACCATGAAGATGGATTCTCGCTGCACACAAGGCCCCAGCAGAGTTCAATATCTACATTCCACTTTTTTATAGTAAACAGGTTTCCTTAGGAACTCTTTGGAAAAAAAGAAAAAAAGGTCATGTAAACAATGACCTACCTTGCTTTGCACTTTTCAAAGATGCACAGAAGAATGAGGAAATCATTAGAGCTGCCTGCAGAAGCAGCTAGCTCTTTGTGAATGATATCTGCTTCCTTTTGTTTTTCTGGGTGGCCTGAAAGAGCGAAAAGATAAATCAT